GGCGGCCGAAAAACCTGCGTTAATATAGACTATAGCTCCTAAACGGATGTACAGATTTCAATGAAACTTCGCTAAAGTCATTTTCTCGACACCCTTTCAATTTATCTATATAACATACTTCAACGAAAAGCAGCTGGAAAAAAAGTTACGAGGGATGGTAAAATTAAATTTCGAATAACTCGAAAAGTTTAAAAAAAAAAAAAAAAAAAAAAAAAAAAATCGTTAAAATCGGACAATTAGGAGCAAAGATATGATCTTCGGTTTTTTTATTATGTTCTACTCCAAATGTTATATCCTTGGTTTGGTTTTCAAATTTTGAATGTGTTACTTAACTAAATCTATTTTTTTTAGCATATTAGTAAAGATTAAAAAAAAAGTTCAGTCCAATAATTGGAATCACCTTTTGTTTATTTTTCTTTGTTATTCGGAAGGTAATGTTACTTTAGATGTATAATTGTTTGGAAATAATAAACCGTTGTGAAATAATTTGCAGCGGTTCAAGACTCGTTCTATTCAGTATATTTCTTTGAGTCTATGAGAATACAGATCTCTCAGATATTGGAAAAAGGCCTCATTATAAGGCTACTGTAGTTGACATCCATTAAATTTCCCATTCTTTCATCAAGATATATATATTCCGTGGTACAGACCTCTTTTTATCAAATTATTAACATCCGCCTGAAACTTAGTAAATATCTTCATCTCATCGTAACCTACAAATATCTTATTTACCAAATTTCTTGGAATCGGGGCGTTTTCAATCTGGAGATCGGCAAACTTTGTTATTCAATTAGGTACTAAAAACTCTTAAATATCCATTTGATTTCCTCTTGAATCTTGAGATAATTTGAGCACAAAGTCGAAGAAAAAGGAGACCTTCAAAAATACTGAGTCGTTAGGCGTGGCCTACTACACCCTAAATTGTAAAAATAATGAGGTTATGTTGGTCAAATGGTCCAAGATTTTTGTAGGCCATTTTTTTCCATTTTTTTTTTCGATTGAGAGATCTAAACTAAGATAGTTTAGTCGGAAAATTAATAAATTTTTAAACAAATTTACCACCACATGCTTTAGATTACAGTCATTATTCAAAATGGGGGAGTATATCGGTTCTTCCATTTCTTTACATATAGTAACTAAAATTTTCTAGTATTATTTACTATTTTACCTTAATTTTTATTCAAAAAATACTTTTTTTTGTCCAATCTTGGCCTTGGTTTTGCAAAGTGCAAGACCCAGACCGATTTTGAGCAACACTAAATGTGTAAAGAGTATACTGTTATTTATAATATTGCATAGATATCAGTAAGTTTCACTATCTAAAAATAACGCTTGTGAATGATTTATTATTTTGAAGTATAGGGCAGTCCTCCACATCAGCACCTTCAGAGTAGTTTCGGGTTTTCCAACCCTCAGGATATGGACGGAACTTAATACTCAGGCCCCTCACAACTCCGTTCATATATTTTTTTTATTTAGATGTAGAAAATATGGAAAATGTCTATCTAAAGATAACTCACTAATAATTATTCACCCTGGAGTAGGTCTTTCAACTACACGACTAAATCATTATATTCAGGCACGTTTAGTCAGCCTTGAATGAGAATGAAGTTCAGTTTTTGAATAGCAGATTGTGAGAACATCTGGCTTTGGTGAAATAGAGTTCATTGTCAACAAGTTAGATTTAAAGCTTGATAAATATTATTTATTTAAAATATTCAAAATAATTCGGAAAATTGGTCACGGTAATGAATTTCAAAAACAATGAAAGTTACTAACTAGTGTAATTATATCTGGACATTTTTTTATAATTTAAAGAGTTTAAAGAGTCATCTTAAATTAGTCACTTATTTACTAAGTGAACACTAATCGACTTTTTATAAGAGTGATAATTAGTCAGGACACAGTCATTTTTAAGGTTTATTATTAGTGCCGTCGTTTCAACCCAAGCACGTGAGTCATCATCAGGACGTGCTTCGAGCCCTGAAGGTGTTCAAGCCCTCAGAACACAACAAGAGTATTTGAATACTTTCAGTGCTCGAAAAACTCTCTAATGATAACTCACATGCTTGGGTTGAAATTTAAAATAAAAAAAAACCTTGAAAATGACTGCGTCTTCACTATTGATCACTCATGATATGTAGGATCACTCAGTCGACTAACTTCCTTCTATTATCTATTTTCATGGAAAACCACCCAATGGTGTAATTATTATTTTTCTTTTCAAAACCGAATATAAATATTTTTAAAAAGTGGTGTCAAAATAAAATCATTTCTGAAACGCGGTCTTTTTTTTTTTTTTAATGAGTTTAATGGAACTTATATTTCTTAAGTATTTTAAAGAAATAATTCATCAAAAACGTTTTTGAATCATTTTATTAAATTAAAATTAAAAACGAATTTATTTTATTGTACTATTATTGTATAGGGACTTTTCGCCTTAATCACACACAAGTTTCTCTTCCCGAAACCGAACCCCAGTCAACAACTTTTTATTCATAACGGACAATGAAGTTTTTTAATTTTTTTCAAGTGCTATCTTATTTAAGATTGAATATTTTTTAATTACTATTGAAATAATCAGAGCTTTTAGGAAATGTTACTACAAACAAAAAATTTCTTAATTTCTTAATTGGGATATAAAATACAGTTTTTCGCATTTCCTGAAAATTTGTCAATGACAATTGTTTCACTTTGGAAATAATGAATTTAAATGATAATAATTATCTGCGATACTCATTCATTCATATTACAGTCATGGGTGCGTACTTCCGATTACGATTGGGACTAAAAAAAAAAAAAAAAATGGCGGTAGTTTTTATTATGTGTACAAATTCAACATAATTATTGTGCAACGAACAAATATAATATTCAATATTCAAAATATATTTGCTTGTATGTTTTTATAATTGTAAGGATTTTTGTTTTGTTTTACATATTATCCTTCCTTAAAATACCTAAAAAAAAACAGTTGAATATGACATATTTGTTAAGATTAAACACAGGGGTAGGGAGAGGGGAGAGGGAAGAATCAGCCTTCATAATATTTTTTGAACATTTCTAGATCTTTTTCAGCTATAAATGAATGATGTAAAAAATATTTTTGGTTTAGTCTGTACGACATCAAATAAAAATACGTTTTTATCAGTCCCACTAGTTCGAAGCGGAAAGTGTGAATATCACCTGAAAATTGAGGTGTGATGAATCATAAAATCCTAGGATATCCTGATATACAGAGTGTTCCGTAAGTAGAAGGAAATATTTTAATAGGTAATATTAGACCTCCAGAGCAATAAAAAAATTCGTATAAATAATATTCGATTTTCGGCAGAATAGTAGGAAATTTAAGCTTTGTGGTTTTTTTTTTTTATGAATAGGAAGCCATAATTAAAACATAATTTAATATAATTCACCGAAAACTAAACTAAACTAAACAAAATTTACTTAAAAATGAAGTGGAGTTTGTCATTGTTAAAACCATTTAACAATGGTCACCGTTAAAACGACTTCTGAGCGGATAAACTGAGCTAAATTATGTTTTTAAAAATTCATGAATTACTTGCAATGTTTATTATTCACCCTTCAACTATACTACAGACACCCAACTTTTAGATAAACTTTCTTTTTTTGTAAGGTTTAAGTCCATTATAATTAAGTTCCGGATTAATTACGAAATAAGTTGAAATCCACCTCAAGTTGCGTAAAAAAAATGTGTTTTCATAATCTGTCAACATAAAGTACCCGAGTTTTCAGCAAAAATTATTACAAAAATTATTAAATTAAGCTACTATTAAGTTACTTTTTCCTTTACCTAGGATGTATTATATAATACATTATTTGTATAATGTATTATGTATTGTATTAAGCTCTGTATTATAGAAATTGATCCCTATTTATAAATTACCAATTAAATGTTTCCAATCCTAATATTTACGATTTCGTGAAAATAATTCAACCTTCTGATTCGCTCCTTTAATTTACACGTAGATACTAGGATTGGGAACGTTTAATTAGTCACCTATAAATACGGATAAATTTTTATAACGGAGATCTTAGCTCAGTTTTATTATCACTTTAGATGATAAATATTTGAAAATCATTATTTTTAATAATTTAATTGTAATAAATAAAAATAATGTTATTAATTTATGTTTATGATTATACATTACAGGCAATGGGAAAAAATAAATTAAAGCTTTGCAGTCATTTTTTATCAAAACATGGGTATTTTACGGAGACAGGATATCAAAACACCTAATTTTTTTACACAACTTGAGATGAATCACAAGTCATTTCGTAATAAACCCTGAATTTAATTAATATGGACTTAAATAATATTAAGCAAGAAGGTTTGTTCTAAAAGTAGGGTGTCTATAGAATAGTTGGATGTCGATAAATAAAAATCGCGAATAATTATTTAATTTATAAATAATAATAAACATAGCTTAGTTTATTCGTTCAAAAGCCCTCTTTAAATTATTTTAACAATAACAAAGTCTACTTTCGTTTGAAGAAAATTTTGTCTAGTCAATTGATTGTTAATTAATGTTTTAGTTATCGTTTCCTATTTATCAAAAACCATGACATCAAAAAAACAAATTTAAATTTTATACTATTTTGCGAATATCGGACTATTAATTTACCTGTTTATATTAAATATTTCCCTCTACTTACGGGAAACTGTGTTTATTATTATATTTGAATATAAATAACAATTTAAATAAAATTAATATTTATATATCAATTATATCGTTACATACTTACTACTAGACCCTAGCCTAGTTAGTTAGCCAACTTTACTTAATAGACGTTAGTTTACACATTTTATTCATTGATTTATTAGTTTCTTGTTTTGGTTTCAAATTATTGGGGAGGGGAGACGATATTTTCGCCCCTTCAACATTTGTATTGAAGGGTCAATCGCTCCCCTCGTCCCCCATAGTCTGCGCCTATGACAACAGATTTGATTATTATTTAAATAAATAATAAGTCATTGATTTTCATTTTAAAAAGATATTTATTATAAATAAATACAAATTATTAGTTTTTCTTGATAGGTTTAGTCTGTACGACATCAAATAAAAATACGTTTTTATCAGTCCCACTAGTTCGAAGCGGAAAGTGTGAATATCACCTGAAAATTGAGGTGTGATGAATCATAAAATCCTAGGATATCCTGATATACAGAGTGTTCCGTAAGTAGAAGGAAATATTTTAATAGGTAATATTAGACCTCCAGAGCAATAAAAAAATTCGTATAAATAATATTCGATTTTCGGCAGAATAGTAGGAAATTTAAGCTTTGTGGTTTTTTTTTTTTATGAATAGGAAGCCATAATTAAAACATAATTTAATATAATTCACCGAAAACTAAACTAAACTAAACAAAATTTACTTAAAAATGAAGTGGAGTTTGTCATTGTTAAAACCATTTAACAATGGTCACCGTTAAAACGACTTCTGAGCGGATAAACTGAGCTAAATTATGTTTTTAAAAATTCATGAATTACTTGCAATGTTTATTATTCACCCTTCAACTATACTACAGACACCCAACTTTTAGATAAACTTTCTTTTTTTGTAAGGTTTAAGTCCATTATAATTAAGTTCCGGATTAATTACGAAATAAGTTGAAATCCACCTCAAGTTGCGTAAAAAAAATGTGTTTTCATAATCTGTCAACATAAAGTACCCGAGTTTTCAGCAAAAATTATTACAAAAATTATTAAATTAAGCTACTATTAAGTTACTTTTTCCTTTACCTAGGATGTATTATATAATACATTATTTGTATAATGTATTATGTATTGTATTAAGCTCTGTATTATAGAAATTGATCCCTATTTATAAATTACCAATTAAATGTTTCCAATCCTAATATTTACGATTTCGTGAAAATAATTCAACCTTCTGATTCGCTCCTTTAATTTACACGTAGATACTAGGATTGGGAACGTTTAATTAGTCACCTATAAATACGGATAAATTTTTATAACGGAGATCTTAGCTCAGTTTTATTATCACTTTAGATGATAAATATTTGAAAATCATTATTTTTAATAATTTAATTGTAATAAATAAAAATAATGTTATTAATTTATGTTTATGATTATACATTACAGGCAATGGGAAAAAATAAATTAAAGCTTTGCAGTCATTTTTTATCAAAACATGGGTATTTTACGGAGACAGGATATCAAAACACCTAATTTTTTTACACAACTTGAGATGAATCACAAGTCATTTCGTAATAAACCCTGAATTTAATTAATATGGACTTAAATAATATTAAGCAAGAAGGTTTGTTCTAAAAGTAGGGTGTCTATAGAATAGTTGGATGTCGATAAATAAAAATCGCGAATAATTATTTAATTTATAAATAATAATAAACATAGCTTAGTTTATTCGTTCAAAAGCCCTCTTTAAATTATTTTAACAATAACAAAGTCTACTTTCGTTTGAAGAAAATTTTGTCTAGTCAATTGATTGTTAATTAATGTTTTAGTTATCGTTTCCTATTTATCAAAAACCATGACATCAAAAAAACAAATTTAAATTTTATACTATTTTGCGAATATCGGACTATTAATTTACCTGTTTATATTAAATATTTCCCTCTACTTACGGGAAACTGTGTTTATTATTATATTTGAATATAAATAACAATTTAAATAAAATTAATATTTATATATCAATTATATCGTTACATACTTACTACTAGACCCTAGCCTAGTTAGTTAGCCAACTTTACTTAATAGACGTTAGTTTACACATTTTATTCATTGATTTATTAGTTTCTTGTTTTGGTTTCAAATTATTGGGGAGGGGAGACGATATTTTCGCCCCTTCAACATTTGTATTGAAGGGTCAATCGCTCCCCTCGTCCCCCATAGTCTGCGCCTATGACAACAGATTTGATTATTATTTAAATAAATAATAAGTCATTGATTTTCATTTTAAAAAGATATTTATTATAAATAAATACAAATTATTAGTTTTTCTTGATAGGTTGAGAATGCGCTGCCTGCCATAGATAACAAGCCTCCACTGCAGCACCATCATGTCACCTGTAAGCTGAAGAAATGCCAAAGGGAGAAGGAACGCTGTGCCCAGATCGTGTCGGACAACTTCACTCTCCTTCAGCACCTGAGCCTAATCACCAGGACGTCGAGGGTGGATAACGTATGGGACGAACCACCGCCTAAGTTTGTGGGAAATTTTTCATTTGTTTTATCCAATTATTAGTAGATATCAATTTTCCTTTCAATCTACCAAGATGTTCAAGTAAATATGGAAGTACATTTCCTTAGGGTGGATAGAATTTCCCAATTCTTGTAAATATTTTTGGAATTTAAATATTAACAATTTATTTTAATAACATATGATCACATGATATCATTTCAAATATATTAATAATCAAGAAACTTCAACGATAGTATACAGTTCTTTCAGTATTTTGTGTACAATTGTTTCAAAACATTCACCTGATCTCACTGAGTAATTACAGCCGTCAAAGTTAAAACGCGATCAAACCATTCACTAAAAACATAGTTACGTACTTTATTAGCGGATTGATTAAACACACTTTATCCTTTTAAATCTCTCACGGGATCGCGCTGAATAATTTAAGATATCAAACTTAAAAATCGCTCAAGCCGCTAGCTCGGAAAAATCATACGTACCTTTTAGCAAATCGATTAAACACATTTTATTCTACTACGGGTCAGTGTTTTGAGTTCAATTTTTTTAAAACACTCACGGGATCTGTATGAATGTTTTGAGGTATCAAACTAAAAAATTGATCCATCCGTTCGCTCGAAATATCGTTACACACCTTTTAACGTGCAACCGTTGAAACAGTCGTTCGCTCTAAGAAGAGTTTTACATATCTTTTACTAGACTAACCAAACTCGTAACCTTCGCGTAGTCGGTTAACAATATTACTTTTAGACAAGAACAAATATATCTGAAAATAGATTATATAGTACATATTACTTATTTAAGTGATATTCATACATATAGTACAAATTATTTTGTATGTAAATACGCAAATACTGGCTTATATATAAATTTATAGCAGTATAATAATGAAATTAAGAAAATTAGGTTTCTAAAAAATCTCGGAATTAACACTTATAAGTGCTCTAAATTAGCGAATTTTGAGCTAAAATATATCGGAAACTATTCGAGATAGTGAAAAAAATAATATAATTTATATATTTGCTATTATCTGCTTTAATTTTTTTTAATAATGTCCTTTTAAACTGAAAAAAAAAGACCTCGGTCCACCTTCTTTGGCTGGGGACTTTAGTATGCTAACCTCATTTTTACGTCCACACACTTTTGAACCTGTAATTTTTTTTCTTGTTTATCTTCAAATTATTTATATTGTTTTGGACGTAGGAATGAATACATCTGTTGATTTAAAAAAATATTTCCAATTATTAAGTATTTTTCTTTTTGGAGATATATAAAATTATTTTCTCTTAGCCGCTCACTCCTGTTTTTATTAACTATCTTATTTTATTTTTTTAGTTTTTTAAACAGAGTAGGTATATACAGAATAAGAGATAGAAAACATTGGACACAAAGCGATGAAGTCAGCGACAATAGCGAGCTGCCTAAGACCAGAAAAGGCAGATGCTTGGGTTGCCACCCACACAGATACGTCAAGAAGGTATGTGGACCATTTATAATAACCATTTGTCACATGCCATTTTTTTCGTTTTATCATTTATTCTAAAAGAACGTGTCACAAAAGGATATTTTATACAAATTTTAATAAAATATACTATTTTATGTTTCAAAACGTTGGTGTTTACTACACAGGTACTAGTGAAATCGTATGATGATTTATATTATTTTTTTAAGTGAAAACTTCTTTAGGCTATGTAACGCTAATTCATGGAAAGTCAAATCGAGTCGACTATTTTTTGTATTAATATATTTTCGTATTAAAATATCTCAGAAACTAAAGCTCAGATCATTTGTCACATATAATTTTTTCTGTTATATCAAAATAATTATAATTTTAGTATTCACTGATGAGAAAAAACTCGTATTAATTTAAGACCTTGTAATATAGATATTTTTTAGCCAATGAAATCGGCGAGGAAGCTGACCTTACTTTGCTGACTTTTTTTTTTAATTTTGATTAAAATATCTTTAATACTAAGAATCGAACCTGCATTCTGTTAGTGTTCAACATTTAATCTTCTTTGTTATGATATTTTATTATATTTATGATATCTTCTTTGTTGAAACGGCAGTGGCCTCGCGACCTTTTGTAAATTATATAAATTGGAGTTCTGGCAATGGCCAGATTCTTTACTCAAGACATGTGTGTATGTGGCTAAAGTGCTCTCGACCAATCTCCGCTGGCTTTAGTACCAGTGACGCGGTTGGAAGAGTAGCGCAGGGTTCTCCTGGAGTTCCCTCGCCTGATTGTATATAGGTATGCATGTTATTTTTTTTTTTTTCCTTAGTTTTAATTTTCTTATTTTTTAGGTTATTTTATTTTATTGTCTATTGTATATACTTTTGATTATTATTTTGTTCTATTTATTTTATTTTTTTGTACATATGGTGTGAATGTCATCCTACCTCACTATAACCAATGTCGAACAGACAGATTGTTATAATACTCAATAAAGAAATTTAAAAAAAAAAAAAAAATACTAAGAATCGAACCTGCATTCTGTTAGTGTTCAACATTTAATCTTCTTTGTTATGATATTTTATTCAAAATTGTATCTTGGCGCGACGTCGTGTTAGAGATGAAAGCAGGGAAAAAGCTGTTTCAAAATCATTAGATACTATATCACCTGATACACCGACATATTGGCCGACTTCACAACGTAAATCCCCAGACCTACTAGACTTTTTTATAACCAAAGGACTGCGCACCATACCTTACACCATAAATACGAGCTCTGATCTTTGCTCTGACCATTCCCTTATACATTTGGTTATCCTTGATGAGCCCATCAATCTTCCACGAACACCTAAGCTCCTTAATGGTAAAATGGATTGGGATGCTTACAGGGAAATTCTGGATTCAGAACTTTCAATCCCTGGCTCCATTAAAACAGCAGATGAACTAGAAGAGGCAGTGGACAAATTTACAAAAAGTGT